GGTAATTTTTCAGAATCGCGTATGAACTTCCAGCCAGCCCCTTTCGGTAAAAGAGCCAAGAGTTACCCCCTCAGCGTGTGCCCTCTGCTTTGAAAGTCTTAGCCCCTCCAAGACGATCAAGTTCGTAGTTGCCCATTAACCAACTGCTGCTTTTTTACTTATTAAAATTCCATTATGATCTATACCGAACAGAGAGATATTAAAAGTAAATTATATTCTTTTCTTGGTGCATCTGCCTTTGAAAACTGTCCGTAAGTTAGATCTATAGCTTCCGTGGTGAGAGCTAGACAGCAGGCCCTTGCCCACTACCTAGACAGGGAGGATTCGGCTGGTGGGCTGTTGCTGGGCTGTGAGAGAGGGAACTCAGATGCGGGCCAAGGCCAAGGCCAAGGCCAAGGCCAGAGCCAGGGGAGCCGCTGCCCGCGAGAGCTGGGTGTAGGACAGCCCGGCCAGCTTTATAAAGCCCTCCAAGCAGGAGCTCATCTCTGAGCCCAGGTCAGGCCCAGGTAAAGCTACTTCACCAGCAGCGTGGTACAGCTGGAAGCCTCGCCCCCCCCCAGCTACTAAAGACTCTAGTCTGTAAAAGGTAGTACTTTTCAGTTTGGGAATCTCTTGAGGTCGGGGTAGTTCTAGAGGTTTGGGGCCAAATGCTTTTGACTTTGCTAGGGTAGGTAGGATTACAAAGGGTGGAGAGGTTTCAGGGTCCCTCAAGCACCTGTATTCTTTGAGAATGGATGTCTCCTGAAGTCTCTCCCAGTATCTGGGGCAGGACCTTGCAATCATCCCTTAGTTTCTAACTGCTCCTAATGGGCCTGCGAGACAGTGGTGACATTTATCACAAGTTTAAAAGCTGCTGGAGGCCATGGAAAGTAAATGGAAATTATGTTGTTAGATATATAAATGCTGTTGACTAGTAACTAGCATGTGTACATGAGCATGCGTGCATGCACACACGCACGCACACACACACACACACATCTAGTACTGCCCGAAGGAGTTTTACCACTCAGTTAAAGTGACAAGCATAATAGAAAAGACATCTTTTGGTGAATAACTGTTCGATCAGTGGTATAGACAGTAGGTTCTCTGGCTTAAATAGAGAGTCGGAATATTCAAAGGAGACTTCCCGGAGGAGGCGGGAAGTCAACTGGGTTTTGTAGACTGAATAGGAATTGGAAAATCAGAGAGGATAGAGGTGCGAGGACCCCATTTATACAAGACTTTAGATTTTGTCAGGAGAACTGCTGGGAAGTATGGCTGGGCCGATCGGGCAGAGCCGGAATAGTATGCCAGCCATTGTCGGCCTCAGCCCCGCCAAGCAGTAGGCACTTGACTGGGAACCTGCAAGCCCACCTTGACTTAATCCACGGGGCAGCCAAACCCAAGAACCATAGGTGCCGCATCCCCTTATCTTGAGGAGGTCTGGGATTAGTCCTTGGCAAAGAGTTAGAAGATAACGAAGCAGCCAGGGAGCTGTTGCGTAGACCCTGGAGAAAGGGAGTGTGTGGTTTTCAGATTAATGTGTTTACCACACGAATTCTCACCNACGAAGCAGCCAGGGAGCTGTTGCGTAGACCCTGGAGAAAGGGAGTGTGTGGTTTTCAGATTAACGTGTTTACCACACGGATTCTCACCAACCCTGTCCCAACTGTAAGGCATTGTTCCCGAGTTTGTCGTAGTGGATTTGAGGGGAAAAAATACTTTCTTTTCCGTTCATATACACCTACTCAGCAACCACCCCAACCACCCATTTCTCATCCCCTCTCCTTACACCCTCAGACAGCTGCAGGGTGCCAGCCGGGTCAGGATGGCAGGTGTGAGCTCTGCTCGTGGCACAGAAGGAAACTAGTTTGTTTAAAAACTGAACTTACACCTCTGGCCTCTGAAACAGAGTGTTTAAAAACTGAACTTACACCTCTGGCCTCTGAAACAGAGCTTTTTGGCCTAAACGCCTTTGAAATAATGAGCGTCTTTCTCCCGAGCAAGATTCCTTTCCTAAAACGACATTTCTTTAGTTTGTAAAATGCTAGTGGATGTTTCTGGAGTGACTGCTTTGAAGAGTTGGTTAAATAAGAGGAAAACATGACCAAGAAATTGCTCCCATGATGATCAATGGCATAATAGCACACAGGCCTGGGGGTTCTGAAGCCAGAACACTCTAGGCTCAGATCTCATCTCTCCTGGTCAGTGGTTCCTTGCAAGGTTGTTTTAATGATTAGAAATGATGTATATAAAGCACCTGGCTCATGGATATTCATAAAGGGCAGACGTTATTAATGACGTCCACATTTTGCACAGGCTACTCCTCTGTTGGGGTTTGCAGTGCTGCACTGATCCTGCGAGATGGTTTGAGATGAAGGGTGTCTGCAGCTGGGGCCAGCTGCCTCAAGCAGCATCTCCGCAGGCAGTGGCCACGAGAAGCTGACCTGGCGGGGGCGACCGTGGGTCAGCCCAAGCTCAACAATCACTGACATGAAGAGATATTTTATTTTTGTTTGGTTGGGAAGGTGGTGCTTTCTTCCACCGGGAAATCAATTTCGCCGTGCAGTGGATCTCAGTAAGTGGGGTCATATTACTGCTTTTCTAAAAGAGAGATATTCCTGTCATTACTAATCATGGAACTGACACAAGATTGGTAGACTTTGTCAAAGGAAGTAACCTGTTTACTCTCCTCCTGCCATACCTACTGCCTTCTAGAAACTAAGATTGAAGAAGGGATGCTTATCTTCCAGTCTGGAAACCATACCTACTCTTCTGGTTTGAAACAAGCAGACTCATGTCCTTGGAGACCTGCCATATATGAATTTCTACAATAAAAGGAATTTCTGTCGGCTGTCATTTAGAAGGCAAAGTAACACAGCCATACTGCCAAGAGATGCCTAAAATAGCTGAGCATGTAATTATGGGCTCGACGCTTCCTTGTCACAAGCCTGAACGCGCGTCCCTTCTGGAGTTGCATCCAATATTAAGGTCCACTGGTGCGGGTGATGAGAGGTACTGGGTTTTCTGACAGTGTAGCTCACTTTAATATAGTGAGATACAATGAAAATCTCAACGTGAAACAGTTATGTTAGGCGAGAAGGGTGTTGGCATTACTATGAACTTGTTTTTATAAAACAGTTATCTGCAGTTTCTATAAAGAGTAGTCATTCCTCATATTTTTGAAATTTGACCACCCCGTAGTTTTTACATACGACCCTCCTTACACACAAGGCTGATTGTATCAGTCCAGCCAAATGGAGCTCAGTGATGGGCCGTGGCTATGCCCAGGCCACGCAGAGAACTGTGGTCCTTTTAGGCTTCTGCTGAGAACTCTATACCAGTAACCAAGTAGCCTCTAGGGGGCAGCAGAACACCGCTAAAACCTCTGTGCCTAGGGCTGGCTGGCAGGCTTTTCTGGCCCCTTGCCCAGCCCTTCCAAGTCCAAGGTGCAGCTCCCTTCTCCCCTTTGCCTAGAAAAACTCATCCTGCAGGCCCTGCCAAGGTGGGGACCTTCGCTGCTCAGCTTCCCCTATCCCAGTCGCCTCCACTCACCCCTTCTGGGTGCCCTTAAACCCTCCTGGTCTACCTTGTATGGTGCCATCTAGCTTCGCTGTGGGACGCGTTTCAATTGTTTCACAATCAGCTATCCCGGTCCTTGGGAGGAACAATGTCTTAAGTCTCTGTGTTTCCCATAACGCCAGGCCTGCCCTGCAGGCCTAAAATAAATACTTGGCAGCAGATGGAGGACCTCTTAACCTGTAGTGAGCGCTTGATACATATTTGCTAACTTGATTGTCAAGTTGGTCTTGTTTTTGCACAGGAGAAAGTATTTTCTTTTCTTCACTTATTTCTGAAATGGCCACATCCCCCCATTTTTCTGGTTTGTTTCACACTGGGGTGTAAAATATAGGGTTTTCAAAATAAGTGCGGAGGTGTAATGGAAAACATTACCTTTGGTGCCCAAGATGCAGGTTGGCTCTTCCCCTTCTTGGCCGTCTGCCTTGGTCAAGTTAGCTTCTCAGCCTCAGTTTTCTCACCCATAAAATGGGGCTATCCAAGCTGATCATATAATTTCTTATCTAAACTGGAGCATATTTGAGAGTAAAGGAAGACATTTAAAAATAACTGCAATCATATAGCTTTTTGAAATATTTTTTTATTGGCTGAGGAGTGGTTTTAATTTGTATATTTTGGCTTACCTATAGGATTGTTCTATTAAAAAGTAATTTTCAAAATGAAATTTGCCACAAAAATTAATATATAGACAGGACAAATTGTAAAGGGCACATACCAGCTCTTCAGATCTTACCAACCCGAGGTGTGAATTTTGTCCAGCTCTAGCAGGAAGATCGTGATTGAAGAGCATGGATGGTCCCACTTACATGCACTCAGACAGCTGTGTCAGCAGCAGAGAATGTACCCAGGGGAAGGCTGTGACTTTGGGGTGAAAATTTGGCTACCTCTGAGCACAGAGCTTTTCTCTTCACTTGTAAACTCACTCCTGCTTCTGGGCATTGTGCCTGGCAGGCTCAGGAACCAGCCTTGGCATCCCTCTTCTGCACTCAGCTCCTACCACTTCAGCAATTGTGCTTAAATACTGGGTTTACCATAAACTTAATAGTTTGAGCTGTAAAATACATGCCTGTCTTGAATGTTGGTGTCCCCACGTAGCCAGAGCTTAATTGCCATCCTGTGATTGGCTTTCTAGGGTTGGACACATTCCTTTTAGAAGCTAAATCCATTCCTCCTCACCCGGCCTCTTGTAAGTGCTGTTTGCTCTGGTAACAAGTCTTTAGCCGTGTGTTCATTTAACCTAAGGCCCTGCAGGGCTGAAGCTTGTGTTTTTGCCAACTCCTTATGTGATGGAGAATTCAGGGAGTGCTCTGTGGCGTCCTGGAGGTAGGGAGGGGGCTGCTCATGGTAAGTAGCAACGTGTGGTAGAGGAGTCAAGTCTGGGGACTGGTTGTGTTGCAGGGACAGCCCTTTGCACAGCTCCTAACAGCCTCCTTTTTCCCTAGGTATGTGTACATTCCAGTGGGCGGGTCCCAACACGGCCTGCTGGGGACACTGTTTTCCACTGCGATGACTTTTGCATTTGTGAGCTACTGGCACGGTGGGGACGACTACCTCTGGTGCTGGGCAGCACTCAACTGGCTGGGAGTCACCATGGAGAATGGAGCCCGGAGGCTGGTGGAGACCCCATGCATCCGGGACAGCCTGGTGAGCAGGAGCCTCGCTCGAATGCTGGGGACAGCTGGGCCAGGGGGCCAGGGTTGGGAGGGAAGGCCGTCACCAGATTCAGTGCGTCGACAGCCATTCTCACTAGATGAGTTCAAAGCCCCTGTGCCTAGAGGTAGGACAGTTAAAAAATAGTCTCATTTAACTATTTAAAAAAATTAATGTTTTATCTATAAAAGCAATACATGTTTATTATATAAAAATTAGAAACATTGAGGCAAGAATAGAAGAGACAAATGCCTCAACAGAAACCACTGTTAATCTCCCATTCTTCCAGATATTTTCTGTACGCACACATTTAAAACAAATGCTGTTATTCCAGAGATACGGTTATATCAGGGCCACCTTTCTATGTCATCAAATCCATTTCTAACAGCGATTAAAAAAAAAAATCTTTATTGATTTCAGAGGGAGGAAGGGAGAGGGAGAGAGAGTTGAAACATCAAGGATGAGAGAGTCATTGATCGGCTGCCTCCTGCCTGCCGCCTGCAGGGGATAGAGCCCTAAACCCGGGCATGTGCCCTGACTGGGAATCGAACCTCAGTCTCCTGGATCACAGGTCAATGCTCAGCCACTGAGCCACGCCCAGCTGGGCTCTAACAATGATTTTTAATGGCTACATAAAATTCCATTATTGCATGTGCTATAATTAATTTAGTCTTCTGTTATCGTATTATTCTGATTTTTTGCACTTATCAGTTGCACTGAGATGAATATTATAACCAGGATGAATTCCTGTGTGTAAAGTTGCTACATTAATGGCTTTCTCACCTTTAAGATTTGCCACACATTCCGTTTAACTCTTCCTTGGCTGACCTGTAGACAGAGCGTGGTGATTTATAGCCCTACCAACAGTGCTCTAGAACACCCTCGCAGGTGCTGAGTAGGACTGGTATTTTCATCTTTGCTAATTTGATAGTTACTGTTATAATAGCAAAAAAAGGTAAGGATTTAAGACACATTCCAACTCCACAGGAAATTAATTAATCACTTTGCTTTGCACATTTTAAGTGATTTTAAACTGTGAGCATGTTTTATAGTGTAAATGAGGTAGATGATGCATTAGGAGCTTGTAGGAAATCATCAGCTCTGCATATGCAGCAATATTCTGATAGCCCTGAAAAAGGTAGCTAAGAAGAAAAATGCTGGCATTAAGGTTCACAGTAGGCAACAAAACACAAGAAATTTAGTGGGAAATGATTAATGTGCCTAAATTCCATCAGTATATGCAACTAAAGCAAATATATTTTTTAAAAACCAACACTACCAAATAGAATCCATTCGAGTGTTTTTCTATTAAGCTGGCCATAGTACAAGTGGACAGTTATTCCAATAAAAACTGATACAAAGTACATAGCAAAATAACACATCTGAAGGAATTGAAATATGTTCGTGCATGTTTAAAGGTAAATATTTTATTTGGTAGTATCACCCAGCAATCAGCAGAAAAGAAACGTCATTAGTTTATTCTAATAGAAAATGAAATTTCATTGCAAGTCGTGGCTATGCAACACAAAACCATAAAAGGTGGTATCATACAGGTTTCAATCTTCATCTTGAGATCTGAGCCGTTTTCCCCAAAGCCTGAAACCCAGTCATCACCTGTGGAAGTCAGGGGATTCTTTCCAGCCCAGGCTGAAGCCTGTAAGTCTCATGTTCCTTCACCGGAGGTCTGACATGAACCTTGGACTTAATGTTTAGCAGTGCTCTGTAGACTTTGAACATGGCTTATGTTATTAATAAATTTTTAAAATCCAAAATGCTAAAGAGGCCCTAGTTGGTTTGACTCAGTGGTTAGAGCGTTGGCCTGTGGACTGAAGGGTCCTGGTTTCGATTCTGGCCGGGGACACATGCCTTGGTTGCAGGCTCCATCCCCACCCCGGTCAGGGCGCATGCAGGAGGTGGCCAGTTGATGTGTCTCTCTCACACTGATGTCTCTCTCTCTCTCTTTCTCCCTCCCACTCTCTCTGAAAAGCAATGGAAAAAAATATCCTTGAGTGAAGATTAAAAAATAATAATAATAAATAAATAAAATGCTAAAGAGTAACCCAAACTGCTATGTAGCCTATGGCTTGTTAAATTTGGTTAAAAATGAATGAAGTCAGTGAAAACACTCAGGAGAAGCACGTGAATGTTTGCTCTGTCCCAACACAGATCATTCAAGGACCCTCGTGCCTACCTCACTTGAATTTCTATCCATAGTTCAGGCACCTAGGAATATAGTACTTTTTGAATATGCATTTTTGGTGAGATATATGCCTCGCATATTGCAAATATGGTGTTTAACCTCCATATTTGTTAGCAAGAACATAATTCATGAGGCCTGTTTTTATCAGCTGCTTTTTATCCTGACAGCCTGGTGGTGGCTATGGCCGTTTAGACTGGGATCTCCTTGAGTACAAGGTCAGGATACCATTACTATTTATATCCCCAATGGTCCGCTCGGATCTGAGTTAGCCTTGGTGTTAAGTCAATGCACAATTAATGCTCCTGCTAGTCCCCCAAAGACTCTCCCTCCATCACTCTGTTTCTTATGCAGTTCAGCACAGGTTCTGTGTTCCTCCAGGAAAACACGGCTGCCATTCCAAAGGTACACAACCGTTTGTAAAAACTGTTTTCTCATGAGTTATCTTCCTGCTCTCTCTTTTCATGAATCCATTTCCTATTCTTTTGTCAAAATCTAAATAAAGACTTAATGCCTCCTTGGTACCTGCTTTCATTGGACTGTAGTTGCCCCAACTGATCTGATGATATTTTTACAATGTGAGTTCACTCTCCGTGTCCCTTTTACGCTCTCTCCATGGCGTCCATCCTTCAAATGTTTTTTAAGGATAGATTGAAAGATATCTGAATAACAAGGGTTATCGTCTCTTTTCCCCCATATCTTCTGCGTCTCCACCCTCAAGGCCTTGTCTGGGGCACACAGCACAGTAGGATTCTGTTTCTTGGTGTTGATAGAATGACAGTTGACCACCCACCGAGAGACTGGTCAGAGCTGAGTCTTGTAAATAGCAAGCCCTCTGATGTTCTAGGCAGGGCCCTCTGATCGAACTTTCTGCTATAATGGAAATGCCCAGTGCACTGTCCAACGCAGTAGTCACTAGCCATGTTGAGCAGCTGAGAAACTAATTTTTAAATATATTTAATTTTCATTAATTTAAATCTCAGTAGCCCACATGTGGCCAGCGACTTCCATTTTGAGCAATGAAGTTCTAGAACATACTCCTTTTCCAGAAAAAAAATTAAAAGAATGTATAAAGTGTTTGAGTGTTTGGCTCTGCTATAATTTAGAATGATCCTCATTAATGTGTGGTACCTCATATATCCAACTGAATCTCTCCCCTCGAGTATCTCACAGATATCTCTGACTTGGCATGTGTAATACTGAACTCATGTGCCCTTATCTCTCAACATCCCAACCAGCTCCTTTCCCTGTTTCTACAAATGGCACCATCGTCTATCTAGTTACTCAAGTCCAAAACCATCAAGGTATCCTTTCTAGGCCCCACTGCCTCAGTTCTTCCTGTGTGTACTGTACATTTTACCTCCTAAGTAAATATTATTATTATTTGCTTGTTCCCATTTCCACCAAGTCATCCTAATCCATCTGTTCTATTTCTTGCCTAGCAGCTTCTCACTAGTCTCCCTGCTCCCACTCTTGTCTTCATCAATCCATTATCTTAGTGCTGAGCCATGCCTCTCAATAAAATCCTCACCGTGTTGTCGTTCTTAAAACCCTTAGGGGCACCCTTTTCTTAGGACTAAGTCCACAATGTTGAAGGTGTCCTGTGTGAGGCCTTGCCTGGTCTTGAACTTGCTGCCTCTCATACTCTCTGCTTCCCCCCCACTCTCTTCTCCTGTCTGTTCATTTACGCGCCCGGCCCCCAGCCTCAGCCCCCACAGACAGGCTCTTCCATCTGCTAGGTGCTCGCTCGCCGTTGCTCCGGCCCTGCTCACCCTCTAGATTTCAGCTCGCACGGTGCCTTGCACGCGTCCTGTTCATTGACGCTCCTACGCCAGTCAGGTCTCTTTTAATAACTCACGATGGGCACCTTGTACGTAGTCTCTTCTGCTATACTTATCACAGTGGCAATGAAATATTTTTATACAGTGACCTGTTGAGTCCTTAGCTCCATGACTGAACTGTACGCCTCATGAGGTCAGAGATCTGTATTCTTGACACTTATCTCACTACCTGGCACAGAGGAAGCAGGCAGTAAATATCGGTCGAATGAAGGAGTGATATTTTCTGACTTCACTGCGGGGAGCACCAGAGGAAATCGGCTTATGCAGCAGCGTGAAGAGTGTAGATTGAGGACTGGGACAACTTATGAGCTGGGGCATTACACAGGGAGTTTTTAAATTTTTTTTATTTTGTAGCAGGGTAGATACTAATTGGTCTAGTAATGGCAAAACGCTATTTTAATGCTCAGTGCACAAAATATATACAGGAAAGAAAGGGGTAGGGAGGAATGAGCCTTCCTAGTAGCCTGCTGCTCTGTGAGAGGGGGGATGATTGCTCGTGACTCACCGAGGCAGAGGTGTAGGAAGCTGACAAAAGGCATTTTCATAAAGCACCAAGCTGGTGGACAGGGTTACTTGGGGAGGCGGCATGCTTTTTCTCTATACAAGTGCTCTCCCAGGGAGCCAGAATTTGTGTTCAGTACTGAAATATTTTAATAAGTGGAAATATTTTGAAACATCAGTGGAGTGACTGTCCTTCTTGCCAATTCTCGATTTGATCTCTCCTTTGAAGGAAGACACCTTCAGGCTGCTTGTCAGTTATTCCAGCACCAAGGAGAATCTACATCTCAAGCTGCTAACCCACCCCACCCCTGATTTCCATTTCATTGAATAACATAATGTCTTCCTCTCCCTCCCTTCCTCCCGTCTTTGGCCCAAGAGCGTCCTGCTAAGCTGATTTATTTTCTCTCCAAAGCAGTAAAATTCCTATTTATAGACTTAATTGAGGAAACGAGCCT